AGAGTAAAGTCCTGTGGACTCCCCTCGGCTGCCCCTAGAAGAGACCAGCTGACCCCACAGCAAGCTTTCATCTCCGTTCCCCAAACGCTAATCAACCCCATCACACTGTACCAATCGGTACACTACAGTCAGCTGGTTATGTAAATTATTGATATATTCTTTTCGTCTTTGTCTTGATTTATAGTGTGCTCCGCAGCGGGTTAGTAGCACTCTCGATGTTAAAAGTTCAGTCAGTCTTCCTTAAGAGTTTCTGCTGGTGTCTTTGTACTGCTGCGTTATAAGCGTCCGTTTACAGTCAGAACATGAGTCTGACTACTAGTGTTCAATATTTGCTTGAATGAGTGTCCCTCCCCCAAACCTAAACACTAATGAAGTTCAGCCACCCCCAAACCCGCCATGTACCAAATTACACTCATGGTTTCCCGACAATTATGCACCCATTTTGACGACGACTGACAACTCATTGTGTGTGTGTGTGTGTGTGATATTGAGTTTGAGAGCCACACAGAGAGAGAACGGGGGCGAGAGTGAGAAAACATTGAGCCTGTTGCTCACAACTGTAATGACGATTTAATTTGAACTGTGGTTGTTTGCTAGAATGAATACGATGCTACAGAAATTAAATGTCAGGATCAGACGTCACATTCCTCGTGGTGTTTCATCGACGAAACGCAAAAAGCATCCAAACCTCCCTGAAGTATGTATCCCCGTTTTCACTGAATCGGACCGCCAGCAGTGACGGCCAGTGAAAACGCATCGTTGTGGCTGTGTGCGTTGTGTCTCTGTAGCAGCCGAGTGTGCGGACCGTTTGTGGGCCTTTTCGGAAGTGCCTTTGGAGAACAACGCTGATCTGAAACCAGCCCCTGCTCATGTAGCCCGAACGTCAAGAGGTTCTTCTCTCTTCCAGATTCAATGCATCATATCGTCCATGGCGGACATAATTTTTTTTCGGGGCTGATTTGAGAGCAGCATTGCGTAGCGCGCGCGCGCGGGATAATGGCGTTGGTTTTGAGGGCGGGGCCAAAGCGGCGGCCAACGGGTTAACTCCTAAGAATGCACTCCAGGGCTAGACGGACCACTGTGTAACTATCATTCTATCTCTTTAGCATATATTTAACAACAATATATAGAGTATGACATATACAGTATGCAGATACATCCGGAGAAATAAACATATATATATATATATATATATATATTACATGTATTTTTACTAGGTCATACACCTAGGAACGTCTGGCGGTCAAGTCATGTCTTAGCAGGTATTAGCATGTTTTTTTTAAAGAATTTATTTTTGTTTATTGTGGTTGGTTATCAGTCACTTATTGATGTACTCAATAAAAGAGACACTATGAAGCAAAATGTGCAGATTAAAATCTTAAATGATTTTCCTCTGATCTGTTTAAATGTTAGTGATTTTTTTCATTGTTATTTAATTGTATTTTTTATTCAGGAGGAAAAAAAATATTTACCAATATTCTTCCCTTCCTCAAAAAACCCATATCCTGTATCTTATTGTGCCAAAATCCACTAAGGCAACTTTATCCTTTTTGTTTCTGTTTTGCACTTGTTTATCTGTTAACCTTAAACATGTAACTGTTCCTAGGTTTCCAGTAGACTACCAATAGGTACTATAATTTCTTCTGTAACTAATTGACGTTCATCTGTCACAGTTCCTTACATTTCATTGACTGCCTTTTATTCTTAAATTGAAGAAAAAAAAGGATCACTTATTTGAATTATTAAAAAGGGATCCATTCTTGCACAGTTTTTCAAAGGAAAAATGCTCCATAAGTTTGACTATTAGGCTGAAAGAGTAAGCAGAAGCCAACGGTAATACTATTTTTCTGAGTAGATAGCATATGGTAAAGCGAGCGCGGGATACAACGTGAAATTGTTGTATTTTTAGAAAAAGTCTACTGTAGATGCCAGGTACTGAACTTTTGTTTTATTAAAAAGAATGATTTGTATGTTGAGACATTAACATGAGAATAAAACTCATTTTCTGTATCACACTGTGGACTCAGTCTGAGAATTTATTACTGAGAAAATGCTGTGATGTATTTCGCCCACAACCTGTTAGTTGGGTGACATTTTAAAAGTGCCTCCCGGAATTACTGTATGCTACAGTCACCTTAGAATAATTCCTTATTTCCTCAACATTACTCCCTTGACCTGCTGTACCTACATTTTAATACCTTTAGGCTGTTGATATTTTCCTTTTAATTAAGAGGAACGACGTGGTAAATGTCAGTACACTGCACCGTGCGTCGCGTTATGAAGTGTTCCCAATAGTTTCAAAAGTGAGCCCGTTCTCGACTGGCTCTGCTCGGTAAATGTCTCACCTCAATGTGTCTGTCCTTCAGAGGTGTACCCTGTTGGATGGAAATGAATCCATTTCGCTGAAAGCACTTGCATTTACTTTCAGTAAATGGAAAAAGCAGGCACATGAAACGGCCTTCGCTTCCTCCGTGGAGATGAGGGAGCGTGACAATATCTGCCAGCACATCTGAGTGAGCCTGATAAAGAGGTGACCTTGCTGCTATATGAAAGGAGGGGATGTGGTTCTGGGTTCATGTGGACTTTTTAAGCGCTGTGGCTCCATTTTCTTCAGCAGCACTAAAATCAAACTTCAAGCTTTCAGTCTGGTGGTTTCAGGTCAGGATGTGCTGTCATCACACGAAATGTGATCTAAAGCAAAGTTTACTTTCACAATTTGCTTCAGATTTTCAGCCTTATTTGTGCTAAACACTGGGTAGCTTGTCTCTGCTTTTTTTAACCTTTCTTGAGGCCAACAACTAAATTTATAACGCTGGTATTTATTTTGTTTGCATTCACTATCCCTGAATACTACATGATAAACATATACTGTTTCTACACTCCAAGAATGACTCTTAATTCTGCATCTTTCTGTTCTACAATTGGGAGGCTTTGCTCCAGCAGATCTTGCAGGTCGATTGGGAGCATTTAGCCGAGGGGTTGTTTGTGCACCGGCTCAAATGCTCTTCCAGCCAATGATGTCACTTTGCAAAGTGGGCGACTGCTCTGTCGGGTTCACCGGGACACGAGAGCACCAAGTGTCTCCAAAACATCCGCCTGACGCTTAATGTTTTTCAATGCTCTCCAGAGAATGTTGCTCAAGCTTTGAATCACCAATTCCTCTACTATAAATAGATCAGTGTCTGCTACAATGTACTCCTGTCCCCCAAGTACCCTCTTCCCTGTTTTAGAAAGGGGTCGGTTGTCCTGCTCTCCTGGTGCGGTGTCCGTTTCAGGACAGCTGCTGAAAGCTCAACTGAACTTGAGAAGTCTCATCTGACAGCAGAGGATCTTTGTCGTCGAGCCGTGGCCTTTTCCCACCTCTCCGTTTGTCTCCTGGTTCTCCAGCACATCACTTCATCAGCATCTCCAAATGTCCTGAGGGATTTCCACCTGACTGCTCTGGTGTTATATCCTCATCAGTCAGCACTGAGGCCGTATGGTTGATGCTCAGCTGGCCCACAGGAACCACTCGGCCAACAGCTGGTCCACAAGAACCACCTTTCATGGGGGATGATCAACTTAAATCCCTTACTCTGCAAATAAGCAACAAACGGCAGCGAGATATATTATTACACACGTATGTAGCATGTGCTGCATACATTGGGAGTTGGAACTCAGCGGGTTTGTTCATGAACGTCGATGAGTGAGACTCAGTGTTCTTTACATCCTGATGTGCAAACACATTTGTAAATCCTGAATGAAGTTACATCATTGCTCTCAGAGAAGGCCTGTTAACTTGTGATTTACACTTCACTTGTGGCCTGAAAATAACGCAATTTGTGGAATGAAGAGCATTGGTGAAACACCCATCCTCATAAGGCACTGGAACTATTTTTGCTCATCTTGTTGGTTCTTGCCTCGGTTCTGCTCACTGGGACCAATTCATCATTTTACCAGCAGGAGGACATCTTCAGAGTTGCTGACAGGCTCGTTCCGATAGTTATGTTCCAGGTAAAACCCAGGTTTACACTCATGAGGTCACTCATCTCAATGTAAATGATGTGGATAAAATAACATCCTGTTGCAAAGCTCTTACATCTGAGTTGATTTGTATTCTGTAAATCTGGTGGACTGCGGGTTTGACCTGTCAAACGTTGTGCTATAATTTACAGATTTTCTCTCTTTGGTCTTTTACAACCCCCCTCACCCTCCCAGGCTAAAGGATTCTCTCACAGCAGCTACTTCTGTGGAAGCACTACTACAATAAATTACCATCGCAGAACATAAATCCCATGTCTATGCCACACCTTACTTAGGCATGTTTACTCAGCGAATGATCTGTGCTCCAGACGCAATAACAGTTCCACACCCATGAGGCACTTGTATGTATATACCTCTATATTAGCAAAGGAGTCGTGGTGCATCAGATCTCAGAGCCCGGGGGACCGATCTTTGGAGGGTTCACTGCAAACAATCTCCAAGGGGTCTGGGGCCTTGTCACACATGTGGCGGTGTGCACCTGCCTGGTCTGCTGCGCACGGCTCAGTGGTCATTCAGGGGCCCCCGAGCCAGCTGTTTCTCCATATCCTCCGGTCTGACTCACTGCTTGAGGGGCATAAACCGCTGCCAGTGAGCATGCCTCATTGTCACCACCAATACACACCTGTTTTCCACCTACTACACGTGTAAGCACATTAGTAACTGACCGGGAAAAGGACATTCATGACAAGTAACCCGTGTGTGTGACAAGCTACACAGTAAATAAAGGGGAACACTAATGACAAGTAGGATCCTGACAGCGACTCAATAAAAAAAACAAAGTATGACTTTATTGTGGTTTTATATACACCTTCACCGTGGTGCCGCCCTCCTCTGGGGACCAATCATTTCCTTCCATGTTTATACAGCCTTCTATTAGCCTCAATTTGACCAGTGGCAAACGCAGCTTGCTTTTCCCTCATCCTCCTCGTTTTTGCGCGACGTACGTCATTCGGCGCAAAGGCGCAGTTTGTTGCCTTTTCTCCTCCGTAGAGCAGCGGAGCGCAGAGCCGAGCGGCATCGCTGCCCTCCGTCCGGACCTTTTACTCGCTCCGCCCTCCCACCTGTACGTCTCCCCGCTCCCACTCCCCACCCCCCTCGGAGCGGATCCGACAGTATCTCCCTCCCTCTCTCAGCTGGCCGCTGCGCGCCAGGGCTGCAGGGGATCGAATGGAGACGGTGACATCCAACCGAGCGCCTGTGCTTTTTACGCAGGAGTGAAAACCGAAGGAAAAAAACAAAAAAAAAACGCCCGCAAGATGATGTAGTCTTCATCGCTGCAGAGATAGTATATAAGGTAGAATATCTTTTCGTTTTCTTTCTTTTTTTTTGGCTTCCCAGCCGTTCGCAGCCGATTCTACGCTTTAGTGAAAAGTGAACTCGATCAATCGAATCGACGGGATCCCCTTGAATGGAAGGCGGCTAGAGGGGCCGCCTCGCCTGGCCGAGACACCCGGCTGCGAACGCTTCTCCCCCGGCTGTGTTTACTGCACCGCTTCCACATTTCGTCGGCGGTCCTCGTCACCACCACCAACACCACCATGGCTTTTGGCGTGAACGAGCCACAACAGCTGTCGGACTGAGACGCGGCTAAAATTCGTCAATATTGCGGAAATTAAATGCCTCTATCCAAGGGCCACCGACCCGCTGTTTCGGTCGCCAGGTCCGCGCGCGCGGCGTCTCGCGCCGCCACGAAGAAACGATCCGCACGCTGCTGAACTACAGACAAGAGACTCCGCCGGCTGGGTTCAAGACAATCGACGGCGCAAGAGTGGAGTGGAGAGTCGGGGAGGGGGGGGGGTATTTTTGTTTATTTCTTTTTTTTTTCTTCCCCAGAGCAATATGGCAGGTGAGTGGGGCTGGGGACGCTGGCACGGGCTCTCCAAGGCTCCTAAATGCTAGCTGAGGCAGGTGGCACCGCTCCCCATGGACGCGACGACAGCTCTATGAGGACAAGCAATATCAATAATAATAGAAATCCCGACTATTCGATCTTAATATCCAAGATGGAAGACGTCGTCATCCCGTTCTCGTCCGAGGTGCCCTGCGACAATAATGGACAGCGCATGTGGTGGGCATTCCTCGCCTCCTCCATGGTGACGTTTTTTGGGGGTCTCTTCATCATCCTGCTGTGGAGGACACTCAAATACATGTGGACTGTTTGCTGCCACTGCAACGTCAAACCCAAGGTACGACCCACGACGGTGTCCCCCCCCCTTTGTAGCCTGTAAAAGAAATATGAAAAAAAATCAGTTTTAAGCGCAAAACCACTGATGCACTTGCTTGTTTTTCTTTATTATGACACGTTGGCCTGACTTGTTGTTCTGCAACTGCCCGCATTGTAAAAAAAACAAAAAAAAAGACATCCTACTTTGAAGCCTTCCTCGTACAACGTGCACCCACCAAACAGATGTCAAGGCCAACTGCAGTGGCCTTTGTAACCAATGCATCTCTTGGAATACGATTGTTATGATCCCGTTGGCTGCGTGCACCCACTCCCACAGTGAAATGATGCTGCTGCTGCTGCTGCTGCATGACAGATGGGGGTGGGATGAGAGAAGAGAAGAAGCTCCTTTTGGGTTTTATTTTTGCTCGGCTTCAACGTGAGTCATAGTAGCCCATCCTCATGTCACAACAGCTTTTGATTTCTATGGTAAAAATAGACCATTTCAGGGAGCCACGCGCCATAGAATCCACCAGTGAGACCCGGTGAAAGCCGTGGGGACTTTTCATGCAGATGCAGGCACATCAAGGCGGTCTCTTTCATAGTATGCAACAGCTCTGCAAAAAATAATGTCCTGGGAGAATGAGTGTCTTTTTCGTAGCAATTTGTTTTTGCACTTTTTAAATGCTCACAACCAATGGTGGCTTTAGTGTGTTTTGTGCTGCGCCTCAACGTGTCTTTGAGAAATGATCGATTAACCCGTCTGCAGGACCTGAGGTAGAAATAGGATGAAAAGAGGGCGACCGCCCGTTACTTTCCTTGGGGTGGCCCGCTCTAGCTATGAATCACGGAGGCTTCACATCAGTATGAAAGCCTGTTTCATAAATGACTCACACACTTGTGTGCAGTGCAAGTGGTCCTCTGGCTGAACAGAGGGTTGTGTTGCTTGGAGTGTGCCGAACATCGGCTGATTTATTTTCTTGCTCGAGAAATAATAAATATTATCACTGTAAATAAGCACAAAGGGTTTTGGAAAGAGGATGTAGTGGAGCAACGGTGAGCTTCCTCATCCTTTTCATATGTTTGCTCATCCATTTGAATCGGACACAAAGCGGCGTCCCTCCTCCTCCTGCTCGTTTGCCACGTCCTTTCCGTGGCCCTTAGCCCCTTTTGGCCATTTCTGTTTGGTATTATGACCGGTGAAAGGCAGGGCAGCGAGGCATCATCATCATCATCATTAACCGACAATAACAACATAAAAAAAGCCCCCATCGCTCTGCTTAAAGCCGCTGAACACCAGTTTGCTTATTTAAAATGTGATGTGGGCTTTGTTTATCCTTTTGTAAAGGATGTGAAAATACATCGTTTTTTCTGCAAATGGAACAACACAAGTTGACATTTACACAATATCAGATTTAAGCAGGTTGCTGGGATTCAAATTATTTTCTGCGGACAAAAGTTTCGTCCCGTCCAAACGGCTCATATTTACACGAGAGGTAATTCTGCCTGTTTTTTCTCGGCTGTCTCCCTCATGTCAATTTGTTCCAGTCCTGAATCCCAGTATGAGAGATGGCAACAAACCATATGCCGTCCTTCTATCCTTCTAAGCTTCTTGCTAGGAAAGTGATAGAAGTAAACCATGCAGTTCTAACGAGGAATCCATCTTGTAACGGCTGGTGCGTATCTGGTTATGTCTCGTCTCTTCTAGAAAAGGAAAGAAAATGAAACGCTGTTTCACTGCGCTCGCCCTCCCGCTGCTTCTGTGTTAGGTGACTTTGGTTGGGTTGACACTTGGCTGCAGAGGGAAAAGGCTTGTTAGGAGCATTAAGAGGGGGAGGGGGGGGGGAAACCGGATCCGTGTTCAGCTGACTGGCGCAGGCGGCTAAGTTGGCAAGTGTCAGAACAGGATGCGTAGCTGAGGTCGAGAGGCGGTGGGCTTTCGGTACTGGGAACCTGGAATCAGAGGCTGGGAAATAGAGGTGGAAACTCTGAGACAGGGAGACACGGGAGGAAGTGGAAACAGGGGGTGTGAGGGTGTCGGAAAAGTTGGGAGAGGGGGGCTGTTGTATTGCTTGGTGTCCTCCTGGGCGCTGTCATTGACACACAGCTGGGTCCTATTTCTTTCAAATGGCCCTTTTTCTCCGTGAGGAGGGGACGGGTCATGGACATCGTTGGTGGGAGGAATGAGTCGGAACAATGTGCAGTGGGGTTTTTGAGACGTTTAAAGAAAAAACTGAGTTCTCTCAAGGAACTGTTGTGTGTAATCCCGTTTTTACTTCTATCCCTTCTTAAACAAGACCAGACAGTCCTGTTACAGGCAGCAGCACAATGCTTTATAGCTCTGGTACTGTATAGCGGCCGGACAATAAAAACAACAAAGTGAAAAAAACACCAAAACCACATTAAGTTTAGTGTTTTTTTTTAAAACACTGTGCCAGCAATGGCAACATTTACGGCACCATTTATCTTCTGGGTGTTTTAGAGTGCATAAGTACTATTTTTAAACCACCTATCAAACACATTTGTTATTGATTTTCCTAACAATAAATCCCTCTGCAAACGGTTCTGCAGTCCGGATGAGCCTCATTATGTCTCCTTTCACAGTCTCGAGACATCACACATTCTAAATAAGGGGTTTCCTACTAAGGGAAGGACTCACTCAAGACAACTACTCGGGGATAATGAAGTGGAGGAAACCACATTCTTGTTATATACACATATATATGCATATACGTAGACTGTATGTTGCCTTCCTTTTGGTCTTTTTTGGAGTTCTATGCTGTGTTTTCTGTGCGGCTTCACTGCTGTACGGTTATCTAACGGTCTAGTTATCTACTCTGCGTCATGCCACCTCCAGGAGTTCTTATATGATGCCTCCTCTTATTTGGGATGCGTGGGGAGGAGGAGTATTGAGGCTTTGCATTCGTGGCACCAATCTCTTTTCAAACACGAATGACACAACGGCTCTGGGAAAACACGGCTTTATTAGACATTTAGAAATACCCGAGTGGTTGGGCCGGGGATTTGAAAACGTCTCATTGTAAATCCTAAGAAAGCTGAAAGGGATAGTTGATCATAAGATTATGATCATTGACAGAATATTTGGGGTTTTGGACAAAAAAGAAAAATGATTTGGTTCTTAAATTGGCTGAAGGAGATTGGGATTTTTACATTTTTAAACTGTTTAATTTAAGTGAAATGATTAATACAAAATAACAGAATAGTCAATATTTACAATTATCTTTCATTGGGAAACTAATTGGATCTTTCTGAGCTTGTAACTTAAACCCTCGGTCAATTAGCTTATTGAAGAATAACTCCATTTGCTTGCTAAAAATAGATATTTCTATGTATACGGATGTGTAGCTGAGCCCCCCCCCCCCCGACATGGATCATTTTATATGCTCAGTAGTGTTGTTGGAAGAGTCTTGACGCTACAAACCATACTTTTAATGCTACATTCAGTTTTGCCCTACACATTACTATGCCACAAATACTTACATCCTACTACCTTCCCTTTTTTTGCTCCAAGATCATCCGTAATTAGTTTCTCATGTTTATTTGCTGCTCCACCGCGGCCTTCGTGGGATCATTAAAGTTTCATCTTATCTAATGAGAGTTTGATGTGCTGTGCCTTGGTTCTCCTCAAAGAGGGCCGGACTGCGCTCTCGTGATGCGACTAATAAAAATGAAACATCTGGTACCTCTGCTCCATCTTCTCTGGCCCCTTGTTAGTTTGCATTCGGAGGGTTTATGGTGAAACTCATTTCAGTATCAATGGATACAGTATCAATGCTAACAGTGTCACGGTGGAGAAGTTTCCTTTAAATCTCCTTTTTCAAACCACAAGGAAAAATCCATCTCCTGCACGGCCGTCTGATTTGATATGGCAGCTGTGGTTTGAGGTCATCACGAAGCACTTGCATAAATGAAGATTGTGATTGATTTGTACGCTCGGCGGCTCGGCTTTCACTGCCGAGCAATTAATCAAACATCAGTTTAAAACCCCGCCTCAGTTTTTTGGCACGAGTCTCTGTCTTCATTTGTATTCCACTACTTGACAAGGAAAAAGGTATGCTGGGATCTACCCTAAAGTGGAAGGGGTTTGCCAAAGGCCCTGCAAAGAGGAGCTGTTGTGAGCCTGTGTATTCTTTCTTTTCTTTTGCTTGGCAACAGACCAGCTGCATTTTGCCAGAGCAGCACAGAGCACACACCCCGACACCAGCTGTCGCTCCCACCGCCCTCAGCCTCACTTCGCCCGGCGCGCCCCACACCGGCTTATTGAATTCCAGAGCTAATTGAAGAAATGAATTGAGTACATAAGTACCACTGGATCACACAAGACACTTCATGAAGACTTTGAGTGCTGCAGCCATCGGTTATTTTAGTAGTCGTGTATCTTGTTAATAGTTCTGTCACATAAAATGATGTTGAGTTCCCCATACAGCATTATGTGGCATATTTCTTTCTGCCTTTCAAGTCTAAACTTTTTAAACTTCTAACCATGAAATCATCTCAACTGTTCCTGTGTACACTGTAAAAATCTAAATTGGATCTGTTTGTATTGTTATCATTATTTATTTGCAATAATTATGACATCATCGTGTTGTAATGTATAGCTCTGCATATTCTATATCTTATTGATTCAACACATCATAATACAACTCAATGAGACCTCTGTACATTAGCTGGTAAAATGACAGGTACACTGAAATATAAAGAGAACTTGGGAACCATGGGTTCCTCTCCAGGCATATGTTTAAGCCCTGTAGACCAGCTGGGCACATAAGGCTATATTCATGTACACTCCCTCAGTTTTCAGGAATGTCTGTATCGGAGAACCATGTTCTTGTGACCAGTGGTTGAGTTGCATGTGTCTTGTCATGTGTTGTTGACAGCAGATGGGAGTTGGCGTGTCTCACAGCTGTCCCCGTGCACAGCGTGAGTTTCCACCACAGCAAGCACGCCGGTCCACAGCCCCTCTTACCAGGAGCACGGCTGTAACCGAAGACCTTTTTACATTCA